TTTCCCTTTATAATGAATAAATATGTATCTCGAGGTAGGTTCTTGGAGACTGTGCAGAGTCGGGGGGTCCTTAAGACCACCCTTGGGTTCAGTAATTTTCTAGAAGGACTCATAGAAGTCACCGAAAGCCGGTGTACTCGCAGGTAAGGTTTACTGCAGGGAAAGGACAAAGGACACGGATTAAAGCCGGCCAAGGGGAGACGGGCCTGGGGCAGAGTCCAAGAGAGCTTCCAGCTCGTCCCATAGAGGGCGGACAGTGCCACCTTCTAGAACGTCAGCACAGAGACAGACCATTGCCAGCCAGGGGCGCTCACCGGAGCCTTGCTGTTCAGAGTTTTCACTGGAGCTCAGCCGTGTAGACTGGCCTCACTCTCAGCCCCTCCGGAGGTTGAGCCGGCGGCGTGTGGTCCGGGGCCTCCACCGTAAGTCACGGTTCGTGTAGACCGAGGCACTGGGCCACCGCTCCAGGTAAACACTCGCGCTGGGCGGGACACGCCAAGGTCCTAGCGATCACCTCCTGGGAGCCAAAGGGCGAAGGTCAGACCTCTCTTTGCGCCGGGTTAATCCTTTACCACGCACTGCAGATACCACGTCTCTCTGTAAACTTTCCGCTCATCGCACACTGAGCGGTGGATTTTGCCTGTGGCCTCATTACTATGGTGTTCCCGGGGTGATTTTCTGTTCCCCTTATTCTCGTGCCGTTAGTAATTGGGATTCTTCCGTAAGGAAGAGCCGTCTCTTCTCTCCCGTTTCTGCATCCGGTTATGTCAGTGTGGACGGCGAGATTTGTCCCATTCATTAGGTGATAATCAGCGTTAGATTAGGATCAACATTTTCCTGTTCGTTTGGTTGCTCCAGTTCCTCTAGCTTTAGCCCCCTCGGTGGGATTCTCGCGTCCCGTCAGCATAGCCCGTCCTGGCTTCCTTTCCGGAACCACCAGGCTCATCTTGTATCATCCCTGCCCCTGTCCAGGTTCCTGTCGTTGGAGAATGGTGTTTAGAGTCCGAGGTACGGACACGAGATGAGCTCATCGCTGCTGCGGTGTCGCCGTGTTGGCTGTCAGTACCTGGTGCTAGGAGATGTATTTGTGTCTGTTAGCCCACACTCGCGGTGTTTGGACTCAGACTGTTTCAGATCTCGTAATACGTTACATATTACTTAGCACCCCTAGTCACTACCCTGGTACTTTTCCAAATGTGTCTAAGTGGGCTCCAGTAAGACTGTAAATAGCTTCACATCAGGTCAGGTTTTTCTGCTAAATTATTTTTGGCTCAGGAGTT